CAAAGTACTTTGAGAACATCAAGTGAAAGGTGCTAGAAAAAAAGATCATTAAGGACAGGGAACTGCTTGAGAGAGTCCAGCACAGAGCCACCAAGATGATCGAGGGAGTGGAGCATCTCCCTTATGAGGAAAGGCTGAGGGAACTGGGTCTCTTTAGCTTGGAGAAGAGGAGACTGAGGGGAGACCTCATTAATGTTTACAAATATGTTAAGGGTGAATGTCATGAGGATGGAGCCAGGCTCTTCTCAGTGATGCCCAATGGTAGGACAAGGGGCAATGGGTGTGAGCTGGAACACAGGAGGTTCTGCTTAAACATGAGAAAAAACTACTTTACAGTGAGGGTGACAGAGCCCTGGGACAGGCTGCCCAGGGAGGGTGTGGAGTCTCCTTCTCTGGAGACATTCAAGACCCGCCTGGACGCCTTCCTGTGTGATCTCATTTAGGTTCCTGCTCCGGCAGGGGGATTGGACTAGATGATCTTTCGAGGTCCCTTCCAATCCCTAATATTCTGTGATTCTGTGAATGAACTCCAGCCTTCACCATATACACTACTCTGCACAAAGGTAGGAACTTTGAGCTACAAGGTTGACAAGGATAATCTTTGTCCCTTGTGAAGCACAGCTCTCTAGCAGCTCCATCCTTCTCCACATTACAAGGCTTCTGTAACCTCATTTCAAAAATGTAACAAAGGCACCCCAAATCTTCACACTTTGATAAAAACTGACAATGTAGGAAGCTTATTAAAAAAAAAAAAAAAAAAAATCACAAGTCATGCTGCAAAGATGGGCTGGCAAAGTAATCAGTAATTGAATTCAATTCACAGCTCCCAGATCATGCAGCCTCCCTGACTCATCCAAGCCACTCTGCTTTATCAGAACTGCCAGCATCACTCTGAGACAGTGTGTAATAAAATCTGGAAAACGTGAACCTCGCTGATGCAATGAGCTGACATGAAAAATACTTTTCTCTCACTGTGAAATGTCATTATATGGTTGTGTTAGCTTGGAAGCAGCCATATATTGCTGCTGCTATTGTCACTCCTCCTGCCATACCTGTTTCGTGTACAGAGGACTTCAGGGCTCAGGGGATACACACTCAGCCTCCTTCACCAGCATTAAATGCAAAGCTTCATTTCTGGCTATAGTACTGAGTAATATGGGATGGAATTACTCTTGTGCATCTAAAGGATGAAGTGCTGTGAGATAACACTCTTAGATGCTCCTTCTGCTCTCTTAGGGGGGCAAAAAACTGGTTGCCTATGAGTCAGACCTTCACAGAAGCAGGAACTTCAGCAGCACATCTACTCCAATAAAACCAGATGACACTACTTTCATGCAACCCAGTTTTGTAGACCCAGGTGTAGTTGTACCTATCACTGACCAAGTCTGAACCCTTGCTATTCTCATTGCAGCTCTAGTGTCTCTGTGTTTGCCAAAAAATAAATAAAGATTTTCTGGGTTTTGGGTTTTTGTTGGGTTTTTTCTGTTCTTTCCCCTATTTTAGTATAGAACTTGGGGTGCTAAAATAAAACCCATTAAGCTGGCTACTGTTATTAATTTGAATAGCACTACTGCACCTATGATTTCAGCTCAAAGCACTGCAATCTCTCTGCATTTCATGGCTGTAACATGGCATGGTAAGAAAATACTGCAGCATTTCTCCTCATGGCTCCAAAGCACTAATAATGCCTTCAGCACTAAGTAATGCTGCATCTAGGATCTGCAGCAGGAGAGAAACACAGAATAATTCAGGTTAGAAGGGACACCTCTCCTAAGGCCTTTAGTCCAAGGAGGGTGAGTATTGAGAATAATCACTTTCATCTGCCATCATTGGGTAAGACAGAAATTAAAAACTTGTTTGTGTGGATTAAATGAAGCATTTCTAAAAACTGATAGGGAATAAAATTACCTGTCAATGTAACAGATCCCATAGCAAGGAACTGATATTGAAAGGTTGACCCCAGCACCTTATATTCACTGCTTCATTAACAGTTTCTGCTTTTCCAAAGACTGGGTGTGCAAGGCATGCAGCTGACATTTTTAAAGTCCAGTTAAAGGGTAAGTAATTTCAGAAAGAGACTGATTTTTAAATATCACTGAGTTTTCTCCTAATGCAAACTCTAGCTGAAGCCAACCAAAGTCACCAAGCCGCAGACTAGTTTGCAGCTCTTCTAGGCAATAGCTTTTTAATTGCCATGTTTGATTCACTGGCCAGAACAGAATAAGGCATAGTGGTTAACATACCTCATTGTGAGTCAATAGAAACACAGCTAAAATTGCAACTCTCAGCACTGGCAACAGCAGTGGAATTATCTGGGTTGGAGCAATGGTGTGAAATGTTAGTGAAACAAGTCGCCTGTAGCCTCAGTGTTGCTCCGTGAACCAAGCAGCTGTGAACTGCAGAGCTGAATGAGCATTCACTCAGAAAAAAACCTCATATATATACACTAGTCTCTTTTTTTTTAACCTCTACAGGAATTTTCAAATCACAGTTCCTCCCACTCACAAATACTACCCTTCTCCAAGATGACTAAAAACCATCATGTCCCTCCTGTAAGAAATTCTGCTCTCTTCTGTTTTTATTCAATATCAGAATGAAACATCAAATTTAATATTAAATGTTCCCAGAAAGTACTGGATCCAGAAACACAGAACTGTAGATTTTCAGGCAGTCCCTGGTTAGGACATGTCTGCACTGCTACAGCTGCTACAGGGAGTTGTAGTTCCACATCCCTCATGTTCACTATCTTCCCTGCATAGCTTTTTCCCCCAGCCAAACCACTTGAAGTGCCACCCTGACCACTAACTGGGATCAGGCAGGGTAGACTATGTAGGAAGTGACAACAGACACCTCGAAGCTTCACATGTGTGTCAAAGGTAGGCAAAGGAAGACTGTGCCCTAGTCTCCACAGAGCCCTCCTCCCCCTTCTCCTCCCCTCTTGCCCCTGATTTTGTGTAGGTTATGTGAGGACTTCCACGGAATGGTGCTTATAAAAGGTTATATGAGGTGAGGATCACATATATATGATAATGTGGTGCTTCCTGCTAAAACATCTTCCAGCATGCCTCTCGGGCATATACAGCAGTGTGCAGTGCTCCCAGATGTTGACTACGTGTCTAAGGAAGTAAGAGAGGAAAAACATACACTACTGAGTTAGCTGAAAAACTCATGTGAGATCATGTAGTTCAAGTCTGTACTCTGGTGCCCACTAGATAAATATGGGGGTTTTAACCTTAAATTTCCTCTCTCTTTAGACTTTGGCTGCCTGTGTCCCCTACTGTTAGCTAAGATCTAGAGGAGGGCAGCTCCAAGGAAAGGGCTGTTCTGAGCTGTCTCTGTAGCTCCCTTGCCCAGGCATCTGGGACTGCTAAAGCTGGAGGTGAGGCATTGAGCTAGATCAGCAGCTCTCAGCTGCCAGGTTCATGTGGATCTGCATGGACAACTGGGATACCGCTGCACTGTGCTCCTGCCAAAGGGCTCAACCCTCAGCTACAGTTCTGTCAAACAAGGTTCTGCTACAAAAAATGCCATTAACTAAAGGCACAACAGCACCTGGTTGATGAGGCTGAAGGCAGCTTTTGAGCCCTGGAGCTGGTTAAAGGCACCTGTCTCCTGGGATGCTTACGCTCCTGCAAAGCAATGACCAGGCATGATAGGTTTGGAGATCCCTGGAGAAGAGTAAGTCCACTGTTATCCATCATAGATCTTCTTTCTGATAATATCAGCAACAGAATAAAAGCTCATCTGTGTTTTTCTGTGTTTTGGGGTTTTTTTTTTTGGTGCATGGCCTAAATGGGGAAGAGGGGTAGTGAAAAGAGTGGAGGAGAAACTTCCAGCAAGAAAGTCTCTGGACCTGTAGCAGTGATTTCACTGGAAGAGACAGGATCTGAATCTGGAGCCATTCCAAAGTTCACACAAGTAACACAGCAAAGGCAACATACACATATCTAGACTATGTTACATTGACTTTGGACAGTCTTACTTATTAAAACATGCTCAAGTCCCAAGTTTTCTACAGGTCAAGTACACAGTTAAGTAAAGCACATCATTCCACTCTCCTGAAGAGGGTGCTTTCCTTATAAAGAAATTATCTGAGGATGTGGCATATAAACACATTTCCAAGTAGCAAGCCAGGTTTTGAATTTGCAGCACAGCAGTTCCTCAGCAGTAGCCCCATGTTTCTAGCTCACGATAAATGCAACATAGCTTAAAGGGCCTTGCTCAAAGATTTCAATAGGCTATGGCGACATACGAAGCTTATTTTATTGGAACTTGCTTATGTGCTTTATCCTCACACTAAAACCTCTGTTGAGTCCACAGTTTTACAGTGCTCTCACACAACCATAACAAAATCAGTTCTGCACCGAAGAAGCTGATGCCCTACTTCTCAGGGGGGGCTGTTTCCATGCCAAGCCCGAGTCTCAGTCATTTGGGCTCCACCTCCCCTCCAACCAAACCAAACCAAAATGGCCAAAGGATTTTTTACAACAGGAGCAGCAAATTCCCCACATCTTGCCCAATTCTCTTTCTAGGAACTGGCAGAATCACATCACACACATTTAGGGAAAAGAGGGTGGGTAAACACACACATGGTCACATGTTGTTGCATGTTACCAGTGATGGAAAATGGCAACTTCAAATAGAGCTTTAATTTCAGATAAAGTAGTTTTCAAACTTGACTGCTGTGTTGAGAATAGAAGTGGGATGTCTGTGACAGTTGTACTACAATGTGTATCTTGCTGTATACAGTAGCTCTGCAGCAAGGGATCACAGATGGTTTGTGGTGGTGAGAAGACCCTGTTCTTAAGGCCTTCAGACTTAGTGTACTTGCAGAATTCCACCTTAAAAGTAATTGGACGTGTCTGTGAAGGTTTGCTAAGCAATGACACATTGCACTTGGATCTGGAAGCATAACATCTGGAAGCCAAATGTTAGAGGCGATATAAAAGGGCCAGCCAAACAAACCAGTGGGGCATTTCTAAGCCAGGAACATCCTCAGGATGGACCTCGTCCTTCTCTGCGTATTCCTGCCTCTGGTGACCGTGGCATGGGGCCAGTACGGTGACTATTCCTATGGCCCCTATAACTATGGAGACAATGATGAATGGGTCAATGTGTACCGCCAGGGCTTCAACTTCCAGTGCCCGCACGGGCAGGTGATCGTGGCCGTCAGGAGTGTTTTCAGCAAGAAGGAAGGCGCCGACAGACTGTGGAACTACGCCTGCATGCCAGCAGCCCAGAGCCTGGGTGAGCCGACAGAGTGCTGGTGGGAAGAGATCAACAGGGCGGGAACTGAATGGTAGGATACCCCCAACCATCCCTGGAGGGCACAGCCCTGATACTCCCTCTGGAATGCGGGTGCTAATACTGCAGTCAGAGCAATGCAAACGCCTATTAATGCCATCATAACCAGCGGCTTCACTGCCCTGGACAACTCCCCAAGACTCATTAATCATGACTCATGCATGTGAGGTGATCAGCATCACATGTGCCTTCTCTATAGCAACCTCTTGCTGGAGGGTCTCAGTGTGCTTTAGAAATGCTGTGTGGTTTGGTCACTCACAACCTCAGCAGCAAAGTGGTTCAGTCTTGCTACTGTTGTTTCACAAATGAGGAAAATGAGGCACGGACCTTCAGTGAGGAGAGGATAAAGATCCTCTTGAAAGGCCAAACACTGAATCAGTGATCGAACTGGGGAACAAACTGTAAAACTCCTCACTCCAACCTCCTGCTCTTATCACTAGAAAAAAAAAAATCTTCTCTATACTGCACTAGCTTTTCTTTTTGTGTTTTTGTTGCTGAGCTTTTTGGCTTAGGCCCAGTCAAAGGCTGTTTTCTAGTCATGCTGGTATTACAGGAGGCAAAAATCAACACTAAACAGCAACGATGGTGACATATATATATGCATGGTAATGATAGCAGTAGATCATGTTAATCCCCAATACAGTAAGTTTTAGTTAACTAAATGTTACACTTTCCATCAACCTTAGAGGCAAAGGTGATCATATTTGCTAGCCACAAAAATTTCTGTAAATATGTTTCATGTTTAGACAGCACATACCCAGTATTTAATTATCTTCTGATTTTTTCATGAAATGTGAAACACAGTTCTGGAAAACTGAGTTTGAAATATTATTTGGATAGAATGAAATGAAGCAAGAATATTTTCAAATACATTAAATGGTTTTGCTCCAGAAACTGCAATGTGATTTTTGTAGATTTCACATCATATGGGAACAGGTTAACAATGAAACGTGAAGCTTCTGCTTTGCAAATGATTCAAAATTTTGTTCTGAATTATGCATACTCTTTCATTTACCACGTGACACATTCCTATGGCTGATGCAATTGCTAAGGAAAAAAAATGATTGACCCTATATTTAATTTTTTAATAAGAACTGAAAAGAAAGGGGGAGGTTTGCAAAACAGGTAGTGACACCGTGATAATACTGGATGACTTCTTCATTTTTTATACATTGATGCAATTTCTACTTATTGCACAGTAATTTTTAATTAGACCTTTCTATTGCTCAAAATAAATTTATTCTTCTATGTCTAAAAATCCCTGGCAGCAATTGCTCAAGTTCACTTCTCACAAACAGGATACAGTGTAAGTCTGTACAGAGCATTTTCTTCTGCTGTCTAACCACGGGCCACATTCACCACCATGCTCCGTATGCCTGGCATATCCACATCCACTGTGCATTATCTGACTCACCTCTTCTCCTTCACCTCTTCAAAAAATCTTTACACTTTTTCTTCTTTCTTCCCTTCATTTTTTCCTATTTCCAACCCTATCTTTTCTCCAAATGTTTTTACTGTCCAATCCCTCTTTAATGTGTTTAACTCTGTTTCACTCTCTTTCGCAGCTTTTGGAGTTATTTTAGTTATTTCTTCCCTAGCTCACCTTTCCAGTCCAACATCCTTACATCTGTCTGTCTTCTCCGCATAGATCTCCTCCTTTATTCCTTCTGTTTTTGGGGGAGAGGGAGATACACAAAAGTGATTAGGGAAGGAACACATCCTTTTGCACAGGTGAATTTGTGCTCCAAATTACCTGGGCTGCTTCCATACATCTTGGCTAGCTGCACCTGGTTGTATTCTGTGGTTTTCTGCACCCAGAGCTGAGCTGGTTGCATCTACAGTGCTTCATGGAGGGAGAGAGGCTTGCTGCAAGCCAGCACACCCTTGCTGTGCCCAGATGCTACTGCCCAAGAACCCAGCAGGCTCATCCCAGACTGGAATGAAAGCGTGGGCCAGCAGGCAGACAGCCTGTAGTGTCTGAGTGCAAACTCAACCTCAAATTACTGTGACAGCACAGATGCAGTCTGTGGGGCCTTTGACAATCCCACATCTTCTCTCTTGGCAGCCTTACTTCTCATAGCTGCCTCTCTTTTCTCTCTCTATTCCATGCCCAGCTCAGTAGTATTCTGAGCCACCCCTAATTCTGAAGAGATTCACTCAGTAATCAAGCAAGACCACAAATATGAGTCACAGTCTTGTACTGTTAGCTCCTGCTTGGCCACCTCTGTTTCCCTGCTGATCTCCCAACGAACCAATCTGTTGGTGAGCAATACATCATCCTCATGTCAGTTGACACAGCACTCTACTGGACTCGCTAGTCCATTCCCCATCCTGCTAGGACAGACAGTAATATTCCTTCTTCAGCTCTGCCTCACAGGGTATTTTGTCTCACCCTGCACACCCAGGGAGATTCAATGGCTTATATCACCAATAACTACAAAGCTGACAATTTTTTTCTAAAATTATGCTACATTTCCTCTGCTGTAATTAAAGTTTTTTATTCCTTGTAATGCCTTCACTGAGTAATGAGAACAAGCACATTGCATCCTTCGTGAGATCTCTTTAACTTATTAATAGGTTGCAGCTATGTCTTTCTCTCACCCATGCACCTTCACCCACGCTTTTTCTTTCAGGCTCAACACATCTCTGTTCTAGTTCTCATTTGGAAGTTTTATATTCCAACACTCCTAAGCAAGAGCTCATCATATGTACAGCTCTCCTCTGAATTCCCTTTAGCTTCTCAGCCATGTCCCAGAAACTCTAGTCTGGCAGAAACACCAAAAAATGACCTCTGACAAACAATGTCTATGCATTTCACAAATCACCAGTCCTGACTGTTGTGCAGCTGCACAACACAGACAAACCCAAGAGAGGTTTCTTTAGAAAAGACAACAAACCAAGAAAAACTTTAGAGTTAAAATGAAATGGAAATACAAACCAGAGAGATTAAAGAGTCTCCAACTCACTATTTTCTTTGGCTGTTAGCACTGCGGGAGGAAATGGCAGAAATCAATGTGGGATGTAGGGATGGGAGAGTTGGGGGGACTAGAGGGCAGCAGGGAACCACTTGGCAGAGCTGGTTTAGCTAAGTTTGCTTCCTACAATAATACTAAGTATTATGTGGACTTCTAGGATTAAACCCCTAAGACTTTGCATCTTATAGATATGAAAAAAAATTTCATCAGAAAGTGGGCAACGACACAGATCCACATCAGGCATCTAGTCATGATGCCTAATGTATGACCCCTGCCCCCTTCCAGTGTCAATGGAGAGGAACAGGTACTCTAAAAACTGCCCTCCGGGGCACCCCATGTCTCTCTAGAAGCAGACTCATGAAGACCAATCATGAAGACCAATCTAGACAGTTGCCTAGAATTACCTACTGGCATTTCAGAATCCAGCTAACTGTAAGTGCTTTGCTTAGTAAACGGATCCCTGAAATTAAGCACACGTGTGCGAGCCTTTCTGAAGAGTATGTTCTTTTATGTTTTGCTGAATGGACATAAGGAACCTGCAAACATGTCATAAAACTCATAGAGAAAATTTTGGCAAGAGATTGGATAAGATGATCAGTGATGTCTTATCAGCTTCATTAATCTCTCTGTGTATTTAAAGTTAAGTAAGTTTACAAAGGCTTTGTTCAACCTGTCCCAACACTTTACTCCTGGCTCTACTGCCTCTGCAAAGGCTACCTGCTAACCAAGATGCCATTTGACACTGGGAGCAGAACTTGTTCCTGGGTGATTTGGAAATACTCAGGTCTAGAGCAGGGATAAGTCTTCAGGACATCCCCTGATTCTACACACGCCTTCCAATTACTTGTATGCTGAAACATGTCAAGGAATCCTGCTTTTTCAGACAAAACAAAGCTTACATTTTTAGCTCCATTTGTACTGGAAAGAGTTTGACCTTGGGTAAATATTTCACCACCTAAAAAAAGGTAAGGTCTGAGTAGTTGCAGGTGAGACTGTTCTTTACTGCTTCACAGAATACTAGGAGAGTTGTATCTACAGACCAGTCTTTGAACAAGGTACTTCAGAAAAACTGTTTTTCTTGCCTGAAAGTACCAAAGCACAGGGATCAAACAAACAAATGAAAAAAAGCTTGCGAGTGAAAGAGAAGCAATTCTTCCTTCCAGGAGAAAATGTTTGTTTTATACCACATAACACAGATGGAACCATGCCACATCCCCAATATACTCCTAGTTACCCAGAAGAGAGACAGCAGAAACATTTCCAGCCAAGTGGTATTTAATACATGTTTATTGCTTCTTTTCCTTGTTTAGACTTCTGAGAAAGTGTTTGGATAGGACTTGGAAAAAACAGATATCTAGATTCTCCCTCCTCATTCCCATTCTCACTCTCCTTTGCCTTCTCTCTAAATGCACAAACAGTCACACACAGATCCTTCAAGTAGGCACACAACCCTGTTTCCCACAAACTGAGCACAAGACCGATTCACGAGCAAAGGAAACGTCTGCAGCAGCCTCCTGTTCAGGCGCTGGCAGCACACCCTGGTACATCTGCAAGGAAGTGTTTTTGTTCTCAATCTCGGACCAATCCCAAGTCTCAAATCTGAGGCTGTATTACCCAAACCCAATAATCAAGCTGCCCTTTCAAAATGTTCCCATTTGTGCTATGCAGGCAAACAAGTTAATTTTCTTCAAAGCCCTAGGTTTATGTTAAAGGAATAGTGCTACAAGCTCTTAGCACAGCTGCAATGGACTGAGTCCAGTGGGAGCATCTGAGGAGAAGAGGGGTGTTCCTGCAGATTGGGAGGTCTCAACAGCATGGTGATGAGGAAGGAAGAAATCAATGTGGTGATTAGGGCAGCCTTCCCTTTGGGCAGGGAGGAGAAAGTAAGTCATCACTGACCCCTAAATGAAAGAAAAAGATAGCTGAAGGTGACAGTGAGGTTACCTGTGGTATGTGGAAGTCAGGACAACACATCTCGCCATCCTACAACAGATAGTGGAGACTCCTCATAGAAGTGGCCATTGGAGACTGGCACAGCCTAATCAAACACGGAGAAGTTGTTCCCTTTGTCTGACTGCCAGTGCTTCAAGTGTCCTGAGCCTGCCCTCAGCCACTTATCTCTCCCCACGCACTGTAACAGACTGACTGTTAAATTAGCTTCCCTCATGTGACTAACCAAACTACACAGAGCAGGACACTCTACAGAAATAACTAAGGAGAGCAGGATAGGGCCTCCCCTCCACACCTGCACCAAAAGGAAATAAGTTTTGGATATTGAAAATAACAGGTTTTGTTGGAACAACACTCCAGGAAAACAGCGTATCTAATGTCTCATCAAAAAACGCCTCCTGCACTCTTAACCTCGGTCTTACCGCCTGCGAGAGGTTAGGCCACCTCTCTCCCCATGCACTCCGAGGAGGACTGCAGATGAAAGCAGGCAGCATTAGTTTTATTGGGTCAGTTTGCCATGTCTGACACATCTCCATAATATACAGATCCATTCTGCTGTGACAGGCTCTAGAAAGACAGCTTTAAAGTAATAATGATTCAAGTTTTACAGGAGCCATCTGCTCTACAGCAAAACAACAGGAATTTCTGAAGTACCTAGAATGACACTCTCAGGTTAGCCCGTTATAAGGAACAAATTGCCCTTAATGCAGCATGACCCAGTGACTAGTGAGCTGTGTGTCAGACTCTGCACGTATCCAGAGAGCTTCAGGGAGTGCTGCCTGGTCAGCGTGGCAGGAGCTCAATGCAGGCTTTAACAGCACCACTTACTGCATCTTGACTTGGGCTTCCCAATAAAGATTTGCAGTGAACAGACTTCCTCTTTGGGTTGTCACACTCAGGATAACACACTGCTCAGGCTAATTCCTGATGCATCTGAGGGACACCTGATGCCTCAGAGACAGGTTTACAACACTGCCCCAGCATAAGATGAGGCACAATGCTCTGGGACTGTCTAGCAAAGAGCAAAAATAAGATGCAGGAATAATTATGAAGTGTCACCACAGTTGGTGCCATTGCTCAAAACAATGCAGCAAGCAATGCCGCAAGCGATATTTTTCTTCAGTCTGGCAGGCAACTGTTGAGTCAATGAGGTAGACACTTGGTCACTGAGAAAACAACAATGTTTGCAAATAATATGGCACAATTTAAGTGGATCAGTAGAGTGAAACAGATTGTGCACGGACCCAAAATCCACATATGCATTTTCAGTGGGTTTGTTTCAAACCAGCTCTAGTTTGGCCTCATAGATAAATGCTCATTGGTGAACGAGGAAAGCAGTCCTGGCCTGAACTAAACCCATGACATGGATTCACACTCTGGTTGCTTGCCATGACAGAACTCAGCTGTACAACCCTCATTAACCAGATCAGAAGAAGGTTCAGCAAAGGAGAGGCTTTCCACAGCAACTGCAGCAGGACACAGAGAGTCTCAGCTAGCATAGCCCTGTTACCACACAAAACTCCATCCAAAATCAGGCTGTGTAGTTTACTCGCTTTCTATGGAACACTGCAGGCATTTTCACCAGAGGTAAAAAGGGAAGGGAAGGGCAACTTCCCATTCAACAGCACCGGACCCTCACAACCACCAATCTTCCCACTCCTCCATCTACCAGCCAGCTCACCTCCTCTCTCCCCAGTGCCAGATCCAAAAGGCAACTCTTCATGCATTGCAACTTGAGCCAACTAGAAAAACAAAACAACCTATCCATTGCCAAGTTTAATCCCACACAGTCCCAGCTGGTTTCTCATGCTTTTCTGCATTCACCTAAGAGGTATCTTCCTCTCTTCTTACCAATGTCAGGATTTCATGAGCGAGGAGAACCCAGTGACATTCATTCTGAACACTGAATTATCCTCTATAACAAAAGTGCTACAGAGTGGGTCTAGTGAAAAAGGCTTTTCTTTTTTTTTCACTTGGCCATAAATCAAAGTTTTTATTCACCATACTGGTTTGCAGGATTTGCTGTGACAGGAGTAGTGAATTCAATAGAGAAGGGAGAAATCCTGACATATTAGGTGTTGTTTTCAGATTAGTGCATAGAGCATCTGACTCACAAGGTGTGTGTGGAGGGGTTGTTTACTTCCCTTGAAGAATTACTTTCCACTAGTGGAAAAAGGAAACAGAAGGAAAGATATTATATGAGCTTCACAAATAAGCTCCCCAATTTCTGAGAGAACCTCTTCATTTTTGTAGGAATATATGGATTTGACTTGTAAATTAGAAAGATCAGGGGAAAAAATCTCGTGTTATCTCAAAGCTAAAGAAAGGTACTTCAATGTCACTACTATCTTTCTTCTGCTAAACCCAATATTGAGCTTGAATAACAGATTGAAGGACTTTGTGTGTACGAGACATAAGTAGAGAGGGAGAAGTGAACATGAGCTTAAAAATGTATTTCAAATTTTACTTTGGATGTCTTAAAAATGAAATGGCAATTTAATTATAAGACATGACTTATGTCTAGTTATATTCTCCATCAAATAAATTTTTAAGGCAACTCCAAACATTTTTTTGTTAAAACAAACTTTTCATGAGAAGAGAGAACCAGGATCAAAAATAAACAAACATTCCTAAAGTTCGGTGCCCAAATATGCATGTATGCACATAAAAAAGAGAGTGTTATGATTTCTAGATTTTTTTCAATCCACTACAGAGAGAAGGGTCTGTCCATGATGTCTGTCTCAAGATTAATCTTTCCATCAAAGCTGGAGTATATTAGTAGGGGTGTCATGAAAATAAACACCGTTGTAGGAGAAAGAGATCAGGAAAGAGGGCAGAACTTCCCAGACTGAATGTGAGCAGGTGGGGAGAGAAAAGGAGAAGGAAGAACCTCCCAAAAAGACAAGTATGAGCAGGAATATCAGATGCTCATTCCTGTGAGGATAGGAAATTGCAGGGAAATGCCAAGCCTTGAAGAGGAGGTGCAAAGGGAAGTGAGGAACTAAATGCCCCCATTATTGCACCTAGGAAAAATAGATAGAAAATCTGCCAGGGGCACAAGGACTTAAGCAGTGGAAATGCATGTAACTGGGAATGGGGAGAGGCAGAAGAAGATGAAGAGACACAGGCTTGATTCTACTTCACACAAGTTGATGCAGAAAAGGGCTCATCTTGCAACAGGTACAACCATTCCCTGTATTTCTGTGTATCAACCTTTCTTCCATCAGGATAACACCAATCATCTGCAGCTATCCAATATGTTTACACAGTCTTAGCCATATGTTCCCATGGCCTATGTGCCAAAAAACAGAGCAACTTCCTATCAAAGT